GTACCAGAAGAACTAGTGATAGAAAACACACTTTTGTCAGGTATTAGAGCTCGTTCATTTGTAACACCACCACCATCAGGATCCAATCAAGACATACCTTCACAAACTGAAAAACGTCCATTTATAACACCACCTCCATCCGGATCTGATCAAGATATACACCCCAGACTGAATCACGCCTATTAGAATCTGGATCTAAGAAAGGTTTTCTTCTACCCGAGGATATTCGACCTTTTCCAAAAGCAGCAGCTCGGGTAGGAAATAGAAAAAACATTAGGAAACGAAGAAGCACCATATACACAGACACTCCTGAGAAAGAAAATCTTCTTGAAGCCAAAATGAAACAAATACGGAAGAATACTATTAAAAAAATGAAAAAAGAAAAAACTACACCTAAAAGTAAAGCGAAGGATAAGGGCAAAGGCAAGGGAAAAGGAAAGGGAAAGGGAAAGAAAACTAAAAATAATGAAGATGAAGGAATGGACGTTTCAGATGTAAGCGACGACGATGACACATTTTGCCTAGAATGCACCGAGTCTTATACTGCAAGTGCACCTGGTGAAGAATGGGTCCAGTGCATTACGTGCAAATTATGGGCTCATTCTAAATGTGCAAAAGGCAATTTGCTATTTTACGAATGTAAAAATTGTCTTTCAGATCTAGAAGACTGATTTAAAAATATACTTACATTATTTAAATAAGATAGTATGTGTTAGAAAAGAGTTTTTTGTTTTTATACTATAATTGATGTAAAGTCATTAATACTTAAGAAAATGTTGTTAGAATAATTATAAGACTGAACAACACGAGACTTTACACTATTTTCATTGTTTTTTTTTTTTAGATATTTCCAAGTTTATGGATGTTGATTGATCTCTGACTTGATTTGTAATAAGAATAATTTACGTTCATCTTCAAATTGTTTGTTAATTAAACAAATAGTGAATATATTGATAATTTAACCAACTTTAATAATTTAAGTGACTGTTATATTTTCTTTAACTTCGTGATACCCAAGAATAGATCACAAATTTAAGTTCTCTTACTTTAAAATAAAAAGCTACTTACGTTTATTAGTAATTTTCGTTGTTTTTCTTTATCAATCCCTTTAGTTACACCAATTACGGCCTTAGTCAACCTACCCCATGCTTATGGGCGACCTACCCCGGATATGGGGCAGGTTGACCAAGAGGCAAGGGTTTTGAAAATCGTCAAAATAATTATTATAACGATAAATATTTAGGTATCTAATTAGTGTTCTAGGTACCTGGATAGTTCCTCTATCTGTGAACACTGTCATTTTCTTTTTATCTACTCAAATATTGAACATATAGCAGCTTAAGTGAAAACCTAGTCAACCATCCCCGGTCTCCCCTATAGATGGCGTTGTATGTCATTTAAAACCAGTCAACGAATTACCTACTTACTAGAAAAATCTAAATAGCGCGATATAACCGAATTCCGCGCGAGCGGAAAGCTATTTGTTTGTTTGCCTGTCTTAAACGGCAAAACGGAGGTACTAATTAACGTGATTTTTTAACTGAAGGTAGTTGAACGTATGGATAGTCACATAGGCTACTTTTTATCCTTTTGTGACGCGAGCGAAGCCGCGGGTAAAAGCTAGTTAAGGTAATATTTATTGGAGAACATAGCTTAATATTGTATTGTAAGTACAGTTTCTTTAGTAAGTACCACTAAGCCACCTACAAACCACATTAAATTCAAGATTAAATCAAAACCTTGCCTTCCTTTTATAGAGGTTTATGCAATCAAAAGACGTAGACTCCTTACTATCTACCCATACTACATACATAGAGGTGTGGTTTCATTGAAGGCACCACAAAAGCTTGTGATTTACAGTACAATGTGCTACGAAGCAGGTTAATTCAGTTAATTAATTATTAACGCACGTCTTGTTCTCAACATGTGGTATCTTCATGGCAGGTCGGAAGTTTGTAGATAGATCCTTTATACCTATTGGGTTGATAGGAAGGGTGGATTATAATTTGTAGTTATATCTATGTCTAAGTTCCTACATAGTAAGTTCGTACTATAGAACCTGTTCACACGGTGATATTTCACTGCGATGTTTTTTTTTTTCGTTTTTTGTAACGTATTGAATCTTTTAGAAGTAGATAGTCCTAATAGATTGGTCCTAATAATGATTGCAGGCAAAGACGCGACGCGGATCGGAATTAAGTTTATAGCTGTTTTGTAAAGGAGCCACGGATGGCCTAACAGGTTGACGGGTCTCCGGGTCGAAGCAGAATTAGGAACAGGGTGGTTTTTAGTCAGTAAGAGTCTAACAGTCCCTCTCACTTAAGATGGGAGAAGTCATTGGATAATTTTCCCCTCAAAAATAAATTTTGTTCATAAAATTCGTTGCAGTACCCACCTACCTTAAAAAAGTTCAATTTTAAAAGGTTGTACCTATCTAGTCTATAACTATTATTAGGCATCTACTGCCTCTTTGCCATTGGACAGGGCTATATAAACAAACAGACACAATGTTTATCAAGTTTGACCTCTCTCCGGCCGTGTCGGATTGCCGACTCATCGGATCACGAGACTTTACGAGAATGCACCTGTGTTTGTGGTTCAAACTTGTGCACTAGTCTATAATATCACAATGGTCATAATTTATTATTGTTAGTATTAGATCAATAGAGAACCCCTTGATAATGATAAGTCTACCATCTTTCAGGAACACGTCACAGTTCACACCAAACGTAGCTGCACTGTATACACCTGAGACCACTGACGTCACACAAAATCACTAATCACTATAACTTCACATATCACTATGTGAGAACAATCACAATCACTATTATGTTCAATCGTTTCTTCACCACGTAAAAGAAGCTGACACCTTCATGTCGCGTCAAAATTATTGTCAGTAAGGGCCCTCGCTCACGACAACTTTTTGTAGCAATGCAATGGCGATGCTGTTGCGCGTCCACATCGATACAGTCAACGTGGGCGAGGGCCCTAACGTTCACAATGTCCGAATAGTCGCTATGTGCCAGATAAATATGAATTAACGATGTAATAGGTATATATGAAAACATAATTTATTTGAGTCACATAACTTTATCGGGTACTCCATCTGAAGGTGATTTGGCGAACAAATCAACCCTAGTATTCTAGAGTATTTCATTATCACGGTTACACGTACACGACTGGTCAAATTGACTATGGGGTCTTAATAGAACAGTGCCTTTAGCCAAACGCCACTTTAGCGCTTGTCTACAGAGAGAGTAGAAATCAAAATGTATGGGATGACATTGACAAGTGTCAAAATTTACGTCAAATCCATATAATTTGGTTTTCTATTCTACATGTAGACAAGCGCTACATGGCAATGGGCTACAGCTGCAGGAATCTTGTTAACACTTTCGACCACCATCAAGTTCGACTACGACGCAACTGTCAACTAACGAGTGACGCGGAACACTTTTGAATTATATTTTTTTGTCTACTTTTTGCACACGACCACATGGTACTTTAGTAGACAAAATTAATTCTTTTCTTCGAAATATTTAAGTCGATTTTCGCATGAAATCTATGATTCACAAATGATCGATCCTGTGTATGGGATGTGTATTGTGTACGTGTGTGAAATTCAATCACACTGGCAACCACCATATAAGAAGTTTTTTTTTTTACAAGCATTTCAGTGCGGTTGCCGGAAGACAACTGACGTGATTAGTGATTCTAGTATCTTTATCTCGGGCAATAAGGGTTATTTTTCTAAATCCTACTTCCAAATGGTGAAGTAGGTGTTAGATACAATTGAATTTTCAGGTAATTAAACAAAGATTAAAACAGAAAGATTTATTACAATTTATAATAATTAAACAGTTGTATGGAACAACAAAAAATATTAGACAAGCTAATATGTATTCTAAATACATTTTACTTAAAGTTACTTTTTAACTTACATCTTTACCTTACAGATCTAATATAGGAATAAATTAAAATACAGTGCAAATCATATTTATCAAATTAACACAATGTAATATTGCTACATAAGTAGATTTTGACGATATTGAACCTTATTCACATGGATTTAAGAGTTAAGTCAGTAGATATACTACGCAAGTATTAAAACACTGGAAGACATCGTTTAGGAATATTTGCCTTAAGTAGTTGGTGCTAAAGTTCAATATTGAACATTATACATTCGACGGAATTTTAAAGTATCAATATAATTATATTCACAGCCATTCCTGATAAATAGAGGAATGTTTTTATATAAAAAAACTATATAAAGTTATATAGAAATCATTTCGTAGGTGTTTTCATTTGATAACAATATTAGGATCAATTCATGTAAGCAAATCGAAGTGTCAATCTGAAATGCCACAGGAAATTCAACCTTATTACCACACTGTAATGCACATAATTCCTTTGGAGATAACAAGTCGAACGAATTCGCGCACATTCGGTGGAATTCGTGCGACAGAACTCAACCAATGCTTTTGGAAGGAATGTGTGCCTTATTTTGCAGAGATAAGGATGATTTTGCTGTGGACTATTAGAATTGATGCCTTCGCTTAATATGAATCGATCTTTACTTATAATTACCTACATACCCACTTAAATAATTATATTTATAATACTCAATGATCCTTATATACTAATCTTAATCTAAAATTTGTAGGCACGATGGAATTTTTAAATTTTTTGAATTGTTACAAAATATTCCGGTATAGAGATTCCTTTACGTTACAAATTCGAAAAAAAAATTCCAAGATTGAATGAAACTTGAATACTGGAAGATAGACCAGAGACTAGGATCCAAATAACTGATAAAAAAAAAGTTGCTCATAATTGCAATCAGTAACTTAACAAGCTCAAGAATTAGACAAAACTAGCCTCTATTTCAATGAAATAAAGTTGATGTTTTAAAAAAACTGCTTTAAACAATGAGAGGTTTTATGTAACATAAATAATTATAATATAGAGAGATAGTTTTCTAGATATTTTTAAGGGATTTTTTACTGTAATTGAGCCTTTTGGGCTAAGTGCTTGGCTGCTTGGAAGGTGTTATGCATCAGCATAGCTACGGTCATAGGTCCTACTCCACCGGGGACCGGGGTCACTGCACCGGCCACTTTGACAACCTCTGTTTGGAAAAAAGAATAAAAAAAATGAGAAAAAGAAAAAAAATATGTGCAGGTTTTCGTGGTGTTAGTGTGAAAATAAAAGCTATGCATAGTAAATAATATAAGTAGAAGTTAAGTTAATTTAAGTTTTTCAGATAGGATCAATAAAATTAAACGAGATTTTAGAGATTTTATTGAACTGTAAAAAACTAGGTTCCAGAAAATAGTAGAAGTTCATGAATCTAGCGTAGACATACTTGTGTTGTATAGTTCAATTAAATTTTCAAAAAAAGAATAAAATTAATAAACTGATCAAGTGATGATAAATGAGTAAAAAAAAAACAGTTGTAGGAATTTGTGATATGAACTCACCGTCATAATCAACATCTCCCACCAGTCTGGATTTTCCATTTTCATCAGTAATTTTGGTGATTCCAACATCTATAACGGTTGCTCCAGGCTTGATCATATTCGCCTTTATTAGTTTAGGTACACCTAAGACGAAACAATATAAGATTAATAACATGTAATTTCCAAAAAAGAAGGATTATTTTTAGTACTTAAGTCAAAATCAGTCCTTATTTCTCAATGTTAAAATATTCAAAATTGACTAAAAAGTCAAAGAAAAAAATGTTGTAAAGAATTATTACATTGCAAGGGATATTTAATAAAAAGTTCCATAATAATAATTAGGTAATGAAATAAAATAAATACCTGTCGCCGTAATAATAATATCAGCATTCTGGCAGAAGACAGTCAGCTGTTCACTTGGAGTGTAGCGATGGCAAATGGTTACCGTAGCATCCATGCCCAAACCATTGTCATGTTTCTTGTCACTATGCAACATCATCGCAATCGGTAGTCCTACGTTCTTAGACCGGCCCACTACAACCGCGTTACGTCCAAAAGTTTCGATGTTAAACCTAAAAATATCGAAAAGTTGTCATATTTGTGCGGGATTGCTTAATCTTTGGCAAGATCTAATTTTGATAAAATAATTTATAGAACATTCTATGATTAAAGTTAAAGGTATATGCGCACTCACCTCTTCAGCATCTCAATAACAGCTAAAGCAGTAGCCGGCACTAATGTAGGCATGTCAACACACAGCTGTCCGATGTTCACAATATGGAAACCGTCAACATCCTTTTCAGGAGCGACCGCATTGCACACTTTCCGTTCACTCATGGTCTCAGGTATTGGCAACTGAACCAGGATACCATCAACACTGCTGTCAGCATTTAGGGCTTCAATCTCCTGGATGAGCCGTTCTTCGGATATAGTACTCTCATGTTTGATCACTTCAGCGTTAATGCCAACATATCTTGCAGCAATGATCTTGTTGTTTACATAAGTGTGGCTAGCCGGGTCCTCTCCTACTAAGATGCAGCGGATGGATGGTGCCCGGTTACCCAGGTTAACCCAGTTTGCAATTAGTTCCTTCAATTCGTCCTTCACGGTCCCAGCCAAAGCCTTGCCGTCGAGGATTCGGGCCATAATGCTGTTGGACAAGAATTATTATTAAACATTTGACTCAACTAGTAATGGCTATTATTGTATCTAAATAAAACACTATTAAGTGATTATTGTTTTAGAAAAACTACAAAACAAATAACACTCTTAGTTACACTACAGAATGTAGGGTTTTTGATTGTTAGAAATTATTTGAAACTTTAAATGGCTAATTATAAGTGAACATTTTCAATAACTCATACTTTATTGACCATGGCATGATTTGATTGTATTGCCATCACAACTATTCATACTAGCAATTATCAGAAAGTATTCATTAATGGCTTAACAAAATTAATGAATAAATATATTAGAATGGAGCAATATGCAAATAAATATTTTTAGTTGCACTAGAATAATTGAGTATGTAAATTTAATGTAATACACAACAGTAGTTACAAAATAAGTAATAAAAAGGAGGTAATTTAGAATACACCCAAAAGTAATGCTACAAGAAAATACAATAAGTGCAGTTAAAAAAATCAAAACAAAGATAAATAGGCAAAACAAATCAATCTAAATAAGCCACAACACAAATTTCTCAAATTTCTAAATTACCTGGCCGAGCCCAGAGTATCAATGTACGTGTGACTTCTCATTGTGGATGTCAGTAGCGAACTGAATACTCGGAGGCGTAGGATTTGCCTCATCGCTTACTGTCAACGTACATAGGTCATTAGGTCAACATGACCGAACAATTTACAGAACTGATAAAACATTATCTTCAAAGAATACACGTCAAGCCAAATTAAACCAGATAATTACAGTTTCAAAATGAGAACATCAACAGGTTAAAAAGTTCAATAAATATCTCCGTTGCATATCAGGTAAAAACTGCTTTTGACCACTTTATTTTGAAGATGTGTCAATAAAACTGGTTTTAAATGCAGATAGGAAACTTTTTACAGTAGGAGTTTTGTAGGTACTGGCTGAATAAAAATGTCAAAGACAAAACAGAAAGAGTTACCTTGTGTTTTTGAAATTAGAATGCAAAGAACAGTCTTTGGTATTATCTGAAGCAGAAATGACAAGACAGGTTATAGTTTTTGTGTTTATTTTGAGTGAAGCCACATGTTGAACAAACTATAACCCAGAATAGTGGTTATAAACTTCCTCATGTTTAGCTGCCGAAGACTAAACATTGGTTGTTATTTCTTTCACTGATTTTTCAATAAAACAGTGTCGGTAACTTATTTCTTCAGTTAAATTTGTATTTTATCATACATTCGTTTTATAAAAGATAAATAATAATAGAATAATATTGTTCTATGCAACAAACTTACAGATTTTAGTAGTTTTCTTTTCAAATAAAATCACAATTAACCTCTTTAGTCGCGGCCTTGGCAACTGTGGAATAGTTTCTAACTGTTCTATCAACTTCGACGTGTATTGTCATAGAAATGGTGATTTTTTATTACTTTATTTAACGTACGAACACAAATCAATCAAAACTTGCTTTAATGTTCACGTGCGATAGCGATAACGTGGTAATGTCAAAATTAGGTTATGAGTTTTAGAACGCACCTACGTTGAAGGTTTTTTTTTTAATGAAAATATGGGTTATATCCCTAAAATAATTTGTAGTGCATAGCTATCGAAATAGTTATTGCTATTTGTAATCTGAAATTGATTTTTTTATTTACGATATTGATAGTAAATGTATTTGAAACTTTTTATAACGTGGTTTCAGAACCGACTTTCTTCTGAATCCTTGATGAATTTGACAATGACGTAACTATTTTTGACATGCCATAAGGAAAGGACATTTTGTTATTGCGCGAAGTTTAAAAATCATAATCTTTTGACATGTAAATACAAATAAAACTTACTTTCCTTAAATTAACTTAACGTCATCTTTTTTTTTTTTTTATGGGGGGAAATCCTCATGGACTGCCTCCGCCTGGGGAAAGGCGGAGGGGTGTGCCGGACTCTTACCGGCTAAAACCACCCCAGTGTCTCCTCACACGTGCGTGCGGGGCCACGGGAGTCCAAATTCATCCGCAGCCCCGCATTACAGTGCCGGCCCGTATGTCAGGGCCCCGTCACCTGCACGGAGCAGTGCCCCACGTACATCGCCTCAAAGGCGCACGCCGACACCCGCGCGCGCCTTCGACTCGGGTCTTTGAAGTCGGGGGCGAGGACTTCCCCAAGTCCTTCGCCCCTGGACCCATTTATGGGGGCCGGAAGAGGGCGTTGTCGGCCCTTCTCCTACGCCCGGTGCGCCTTCTGCGGTTGGGAAAGGAAGTCAGTAAGATCTCCCTCTCCCGTTCCGCAGTTTCCTTCTGCGACATCACATCCTCGCAGAAAGACACCACCGCGTCCCACGACTCTGCGCTGTCCACCATCTTCCGCACTACGGCCGGCAGCGACAGATCGCTTCCTACTTCATTTCTGAGGACACGGCGCTGCTCCTCCCAAGCTACACACTCGGCGAGCGTATGTTGCGCCGTGTCCTCCCCGCAATGGACGCAGTGGTGGCACCGGGCATCCGGCTCCCTCTCTATGCGGCACAGGTACTTGCTGAAGCAGCCGTGCCCCGACAGCACCTGCGTCACTCTAAACGACAGGGAGCCGTGCTTCCTCCTGAGCCAGTCGTCGAGTACTGGCCGGATCGCCTCGACGGTAGCGAGGCCGGCGGTGGGGCGCAAAAGCCTTTGCCGCCATTCCGTCACCAAGACCTGACGGAGCTCCTCTCGGCGCCGCTCGATTTGGCGCTGCACCGGCCTCGAGCCCCGTGTCCGCTCTTCCTCGCGCCATCGGTATAGTGACGCGAGTACTTTCGCCTCTAGGTCCCAGGGCGGGGATCCGGCCAGGACGCAAGCCGCCTCGTAGGAAATCGTGCGATACCCGCGGATGACTCTGACAGCCATCACCCTCTGCGGTTTTTTGAGAATAGCGAGAGTGTTGGCCGTCAAGTCTAATGCCCACACAGGGGCCCCGTACAGGGCCATGGATCGCACGATTCCCACATACAGCCGCCTACAGGCGGCGCTCGGGCCCCCCAAGTTGGGAAGCAACGTTGAAAGCGCGCCCGTCGCACCCATCAGTTTGGGCGCCAGCCGCCGGAAATGGGGTCCGAATTCCCATCGGCTGTCGAGCACCAATCCCAGATATTTCATGGTGGACTCGACAGCTATGCGAGCCCCGCTGACCACGATTTGCGATCCCGGCGCTGGCGCACGTCGGGGGCCGTGGAACACCATGGCCTCCGATTTGTTCAGGGCCACCTCCAGGCCCAGGCGCCGGATGCGGTTCACAACTTGTGACACCGCAGCCGTGGCTATCAACGTCGCCTCCCTATGCGAGCTCCCCCGGGCGGTTACAAGCGTGTCGTCCGCATAACACGTCAAGTCAGCGCCCAAAGGGAGCTCACCTCTCAGCACCCAGTCGTACCCAATGTTCCACAGGAGCGGCCCTAAGACCGATCCCTGTGGAACACCGCAAGACATGAGGTGCCGACCGACACCGTCACGTCCCCGATAGGTGACACACCTGCCCTCCAAAAAAGCCCCTACTATACGGCGGAGGTAGAGAGGCACGCGATGGTATTTTAGTGCCTCTCGAATACAACTCCAGGGTAGGGTATTGAATGCATTGGAGATGTCCAAAGACACCGCCAGTACCACCCCACCCTGGGACACCGTCTCTTCCACCAGGGTCCTCACGCGCATGATGGCGTCTATGGTGGAGCGCCCCTCACGGAAACCAAATTGGTTGTCGTCCAGGTTCGGTCCTTCTCTGCACAAGTGGCTCACGAGGCGATTTGCGATAATACGCTCGAAAAGTTTGCCCGCCTCGTCGAGCAGCACTATGGGCCGATACGCGGATGGCGAGTCCGCAGGGCCCCCTCCTAACTTAACGTCATCTGGGTCATTAAGTAACAACGTTTGTTAGTTATAAATTACCTACAAGTTAAGTACGTCATCAGGTTATACAGAATCAGATCATCAAATAGATAATTCGATGTTATTGTACCTATTAAATAAAATATTTTCTTTTCCGTTCACATTATTTGTCAATTTGGTATAAATGATATCAACAGACGTAATTCACGGTACTGATAACTTTACGTCGAAACGTAAACATATTTAAAAATTATCGTGGAAATACTTACCTACCTACATATATTATTATGTTCAATTAGTATAAACAATTTGTTTTATAGACAAGTAGGTATCAAGGTGCAAAACAACTTTAATCTGTTCGAGCTATGAGTCATACTAATAAAAACCGAACACTGAATCAATAAAGCATACAATGAAACATTAAGATAATTCCTGTTTCTTTTTTAAAAAAGCTACTAGGCTTCCCACACACTATATTTTCTCCTGCATCGTGGGTGCGTTCATAAACTCACATACATATACATCACACCTATGCCTTTTTTATGGCATAAGCCGGTAAACGAGCAGACGGATCACCTGATGGTAAGAAATCGGCGTCACCCATGGAGACCTCGAACACCAGAGGCGTTACAAGTGCGTTACCGGCTTTTAGGGGATGAGGAGTTTGATGATCGTTTGGGATTCAGGAATTGGAGAGATTAGGGAAGGGGAGGGGTTGATCCTCCGGGAACCTCACTCACATGACGAAACACAACGCAAGCTTGCTTCACACCGGTTTTCTGTGAGGCCGTGGTATTACTCCGGTCGGGCAGTCCCATTCGTGTCAAAACGTTGCTCTCCCACACTAAGAATGGCGCTTCTACACTAATACTTCTACACTAGTTTAGATGTTAGTATTCATAAACTGTGTGTCTAATGTTTTTGTTACAATAAAAACTTTTTATTTTTTATTTTTTTAAGTACTAATAGGTATCTGGACTGTGGCCTTTGAAAATACTAAGGTACTTAATTGTACTAATTGTAGAATGTCTCAGGTAGGTAAAGAATGGCCTACGAAATTACTTTTCTTTAAAAACTATGGTACGTTAGGAAGCTACCCATTCAAGTGAATTCAACAACAAACAAACCTATTGCAAATGTGAAATGTTTTGAGAGATAAGTGAATAAGGTTAGTATTTAAATTCTTAGGCACTCATATACATCATATAAACAGCATCTAATAATTAATTAGCTAGGTACTTCTAAGGACTGTTGTGTGCTGGTCATCTAAAATCTTAGGTCTAACCATTTCTACCAAGATAATAATACACTTTGCTATAAGCCAATTGGACTTAAAGTGATGACAGAATGGGTGTGACTTGTTATACTTGCCCGAAAGGCCCCCAACTGAGTAAAGGTTAACCTAATCTATAAAAACTGTTAGATAGGTACCTACAATTTGGGTACAACAACGTCCAAATTAAAATATTCCATCTCACATTAGGTACCTAATAAGATAATATTTGTACCTACGTACCGAAGTGCTATTTTAAAAGTATAACTAAATGGAATAATTTTAATCACGATTTAATAATGTTAGGGTTATCGCGAGAAGTTGTAATATTTTCAAAACATTCTATTAATAATAGAGTTACTACCGGCAAAGTGGCAGCGTTTCGAAGGTTATCTCCAACTAGTACCGAGAAGCAATTAATTGGAGCGAATTGGAATTAAAACCATTCACTAATTACTACACCTACCTTATTATCTGAAGAATAATATTGGAAAAACATTACTAAGGTTTTAGAAATTCCATAACATTATGC